TTTGATGGTAAAGCACACAGGGATGGTGGAATGACTCAAGTGGAAAGCACCTACCCAGCAAGCATGAGGACCTGAGTTCAAACTCCAGCACCACTACCACCAATAACACAAAATTCAACTCTAAGTAGATCACAGACATTCATTGTAAAGCATAGGACACAGAAGAAAGTCTGACTGACTAGGGTTAGGCAGAGTTCTCAGGTGTGACATCAACAGAATGATTTATAAGAGAAAAAAGTGGATGAATTGAACTTTATCAAAATCAGAAACACTTACTCTGTAGAAGATACTGTATAGAAAATGAAAGAAGCACAAACTAGGAGGAAAATGCTTGTAAGACTCATCAAATAAAGGACTTGTAATCAGAACACATAAAAGTCCTGTTAAAACCCAACACTAAGACAATAATCTGATTTATAAATGGGCAGAAACTAAAATATACAGTCAAGTAAAGAAGAAACAGAGGTGGCAAATACATCTGTGAAAAGATGTTCGGCATCTTTATTAAAGGCTAAAAATAAAACCCTGGTGAGATCTGCTACTCACCTTTTACAAAGGCTCAAATAAGAAATACTGACAATACCCAGTGACGGCAAGGATCAAAGCAGCTCACCTCCCACACTGTGGGTAGGAACACAAGCATTGCACAGCAGCTTAGAAAACAGTTTAACACATGTCCACCACAGGACCCAGCAGTTTCACTGGAGTCTGTAAAACACATTTAAGTTTTCCTTAAAGGCAGACAGTGACCATTTTCAGCTTTACAGTTCATAGGTCTGTTCCACAGCTGTTCAATTCTATTATTGTAGTGTAAAACCAGACATAGACGGTATTTAAATGAATAGGCATGGTTGTGCTGCAAAAAAAATATTGACAAAAACAGGTTATCATCTTACAGGCCTATATGCTGGTCTTTGCCCTAGAAAAATTAACTGTATCCACTAAAAACAATCATACAAATGTTTATGGTGGCTCTATTCATAATCACCAAAACTAGTAACAACCCAATGTCCTACAACTTCTAAATGGATAAGCCAGTGATATATCCATGTTGTGGAATATTACTCAGCAATGAAAAAGAAAAAACATTGCTATAAGAAACAACTTGGATGAATTTCCAATGAATTATGCTCAGTTAAAGTTTGCACGCAGCCAGGCATTGTGAGAGGCAGCAGAATTGCAGGTTCAAGGACTGATGTCTGGCCTACATACTGAGACCCTGTCTCAATGCCCCTTCAAAAAATGGCTCTGTTCTACATGATTCCATTTACATGGTACTCTTGAAAAATACTACAGCAGACTAGAGGTGTGGCTCAAGTGGTAGAGTACCTGCTTTGCAAGTGCAAAGCCCTGAGTTCAAACCCTAGTCCCAACAAAAAAAAATCATGTAATATATGAAAGCAATGTATCTGCAATGGATAATAGTGACAAAGAGATACTCGAGAAGAAACATGGCAGATGCCTAGTCAATTAAAATTGAAGTTGAGGACAGAGATTAATCAGGTAAATCAATTTCTGCTGTGGAAGAGAACTGTGTCAAACCAGGTATGTCTATGGATTCAACCAGCTATTATTCAAATTGAATTTGCACATTAACTGAAGGAACTATGGAATCCATCCTGATTCTGAAGAAGTTCTTTACAGAGAACATTATAGATCAGTGTGTGGTTTAGGGGAACAGAAATTGCCCATGAGAATAGGTTTGGAAGGATTATTTCTCAAAAGTTACGCAAATGATCAACAGGCATATGAAAAAAGTCAACATCACTAATCAGCAGGGAAATGCAAATTAAAATCACTTCACACCTGTTAGAATGATTTTTTATGAAAAAGACAAAAATTAGGTACTGGTGAGGATATAGAGAAAAAGGAGCCTTTATTCACTGACAGTGGGAATGTAAATTAAAAATAGAACTACTATATGATTCAGCAATCTCACTTCTGGGTATATATCCAAAGGAAATGAAATCAACATGTTCAAGTGATATGTGAACTCCCATGTTGCAGCATCACTCTCGAGTCAAAATAGGGAACTGGCAAATAAATGGATGAAAGAAAGTGTGGCACATACACACAAATTCAGCTTTAAAAAAGCAGGAAATCTTGTCATTTGCTACAAAATGGATTGATTTGGAGGACATCATGCCAAGTTTAACCTAAAAAAATACCTAAAACCTAAAACAAAACAAAACAACTAAAAAAACAGTCAAACTCTTAGAAGCTGAAAATCGAATGGTAGGTGCCAGGGGTGATCTTGGTGGTGGAAGGAATGGAAGATCCTGCTCAAAGGGTATAAAGTTTCAGTTACCCAGAATGAATATGTTCTGGAGATCTACTGTACAGCATGGTGGTGACTAGTTAATTCTGTACTGCATTCTTTCTTTCTTTTTTTTTTTTTTTGCAATACTGGGGCTTGAACTCAGGGCCTACACCTTGAGTCACTCCACCAGTTCCTTTTTTTGAAGATTTTTTTCGGCATAGGGTCTCATGGAACTATTTGATCTGGCTGCTTCAAACTGAGATCCTCTTGATCTCTGCCTCCTGTGTAGCCAGGATTACAGAAGTGAGCCACCAGTGCCCAGCTCAGCCCTTTTTTAAAATGACGTTTTTCAAGATAGGGTATGTCAAACTATTTGCCTGAGGCAGTCTTTGAATCATGATCCTCTTGATCTTTGCCTCCTTAGTAGCTAGGATTACAGGTGTGAGCCACCAGCGCCCAGCTGGACTGTGTTCTTGAAATTTGCTGAAAGTAGATGTTAAATGTTCTCAACATGCACGCACGCACACACACACACACACAAACACACCCACCCCCACCCACCAGATAACTGTAAGGTGATGGATTAGCTTTACTGTGGTAATTATCTCAAAATGTATACATATATCAAAGCATCAGGTTGCACACACTGTAAATTTATACAATTATGATTAATTATATTAATCATAAATTTAATTAATCATTAAAATTATATTTTAATTAATTTTACAAAATGATAGGAATACAATGGTGTTACATTCCAATAACCTGAAATATCACAAATTGAAAATGTATTTAAGGGGTTGGGGATTTAGCTCAGTGGAAGAGCACTTGCCTGGCAAGTGCAAGGCCCTGAGTTCAGTCGCCAGCACCAAAAAAAAAAAAAAAAAAAGAAAATGTATTTAATACCTCTAATCTATGAACATCATAGTTTAGCACTTGCCTACTTTAAACATTCTTGGAACATTTATGTCAGCCTATAGTTGGGCATTGTGAGAGAATATGCCATATTGCTAGCCAAGGAAAAGGCCAAATTAAAAATTTTAAATCAGATTTCTACTGAATGTGTATTGCTTTTGCAACATCATAAAGCTGAAAAATCTTGTCAGGGATCACTGTCTTAATGTCATCAAGCAATAACGTAAATGGAATTGTCAGTGCCTCATGGGAGATGTTATACAACTTGCCAACAAAAGTTGTGTAAAAGGAAGTAAAACATATGAAAATCCCTAATTAATGTAGAAACATGAGCTGCTTCTTTAAAAAGAAAGTCTGTTTTTTTTTTTTTGGCTTGGTTCTGGGGATCAGAACCAGGAACTTGCGAATGCTAGGCAAACACTCTACCACTGAGCTATATCCCAAGACTCAAAAGAAGTCTTTTGAGTTCCTCAAGAAGGTTCTTTCTTTGTCCCACTCCTTTTCAATATATTGGACTTAGACTAATACGGTAATTCTTTTCTTTTCGCTAGAGGAGTGTGCTTGGGCAAGTTGCTTTACTGCTTATTCTCTTGGTTTCCTTATGGCTTGCAAAACTAAGGATAATAATAGTACCCTCCCATCAGTAGGGGAAATTAAATGAGTTTATACATGCGAAGTGCTGTGCCATCTCTACTTGGATTAAGAAGGGTTCAAGTGGAGTAAATAAACTACCAAAAACAGGATTTTCCAACACAAACTAGATTCTCTTTGCGTGTTATTTCTGTTATTTCAGTCACCCTGACAATCTCAGGTGTGAATCTCTATTATTTACAATACAACACGATGGAAGTAAAACAAATTGCTATTTTTCCATCTTCATGGTAATGCTTGTTCATTGCGGAAAATTTGGAAAATATGGAAAAACCGAAATGAATAAAAATTACATATAATCATAACACTTAAATTTCCAGTTAAAGTATCAACATATTTTACCTGATTTTTTGCGACATAATTAAAACCCCACTATATGTACAAATGTGATCTTTTTAAGTCTAAAATGTCCGTATCATTGAAAACATTTTATATAAACCCTGTTTTAAATGTAAGATTTTAAAATTCAAATTTCCAAAGTAAAATTTTTGAAGATTTGGAAAACACATGACTCAAAAATTTGAGATTATCATCATTTTGGTATGGCCTGTTCTGCTATTGAAATAAAGTTCTTTTAGGGGGGCTATTCATATATTTATATGTAAAAATGTAATCGTCAAAACACATAGTATTTTGTAGCGTAGCTTTTAATTATGCACTTTTTTAAGTTTCTCGTGTTTTATATATATATATATATATATATATATATATTTTTTTTTTTTTTGCGGCACTGCTCCTACCGCTTGAGCCACTCCTCCAGCTCTTGTGAAATATATCTTTAAAATAGTATGAATTTTAAAATGCATGATCGGAGTTCAGACGTGTCTCACTCCATGTTTAATAAATCGCCTCTAGAGAGTTGTTCCATTTCGACGCTCTACTAAAACGGCCAGAGAGTGATCAGGGCATCGCGTGATCAACGTTAACCACCAAAGTACGTAGAAGAACTCAGCGAGTAAAATGTTATCTCGAGGTGCCCAGCACTTTCCTCCCCGCCTCACTCTGTGGGCTCCGACAGCTCAAAATCGACTAGGTCTGAAAAGAACTGCTGCAGGGACTCCGGGCAGGACCAGCTGGCGAGCAGTGCACGACGGGAGCGCCACCGTCGGCGGCGTGGCGCACAGCGATGACGCAACACGCACGCACGCCGGCTCGCGCCTCCGCCGGCAACGGCGCTGCGTCACGGGTTTTCAGGCGCTTAGCTCGTGGAGACAGCGACCGTTGTGGGCCTCTGTACTGTCCTCCCGCGCTCCGGGAGCCGGGTTGGTGACGCGATGAGGCGCAGCAAGGCCGACGTGGAGCGGTACATCGCTTCGGTGCAGGGTTCCGCCCCGTCGCCCCGAGAGGTGAGCAGGTCCCGGAAAGACCGGTGGCCTCGCCCTGGCCCGGTCGCGGCGCCGGCGTCATGGCTCCTGGCGGCCACCGCTCTCTGGTGCGTTCCGTCCAGGCGCCTGCCGGCATGCGCGGTGCGGTGAGCGGCGTGGCGCTCGCGAGCGCGAGGAGGCGGCGTAGAAGCCGGTGGCAGTTGGCGCAGGCGTTTCCTCTTCCCGGTAGTCCTCACTCGCGGGCCCGCCCTGGCTAGGGTTCCCTCGGCCGTTGGCGCGCACATTAGGCCGCGTCCCCGGGGGTTGGGCGGCCGCCGGCCCGGGTTGGCGCCCCCGTTGGTGCTTGGGTAACACTTTCGGCAGGGTTCTTTTAGTCTCACTGCGCAGGCCTCGGTTCAGAGGTTGGTGGGATCTGGTCGGGACTGACGCAGCTGTGTGATGGGTGACATCGTGGACATCTAGCGACCGAAGCAGGGACAAACACACTTGAAACGGCCCGACGACAGCTCAAATGACACTGGATAGCCCTTTATTTTGAGACGTGAATCACTGTGCTTTTATAAAGGTCCTATCCCGTATCTGAATCTTTACTCCCCTTCCTCTACCCCCAGCCCCGGCCGTTTTGGTAGTTCCTAAAAGCTAATCTCGGGAATTCTAAATTTCTTGCAGAATGTTGTTGCTATGTTTTAGAACTTGTAATCTCTTCCATAACATGCTCTTATGGTATAGCTCTCTCTTAAGTTAAGTAATGAGCTAGAATGATTTTGGGTTCAGCAAGACTGGTGATTGGAGATGGAGAGAGAGGAAAAAGCTATTAAGGGTAGATGTGCACAGAATCTTCAGTCAGTTTACGGTTGATTAATAACAGCTCTGCACTTTACAAACTGGAATTTGGGACAAGTTAAACTTTTCGTCAATAAAATAGAGTTGTGACATTGATAGGATTAGATAGGATGGTCCATGTTAAACATTAGGGCAAAGCTTGACATATAGTGAGCAATAAATAAATGTAAGCTTTCAGTTCATTATTTTCATTGTTGGTGTTAGAGGACGTTCATTTTGAGTCTTTTCTCGGCAAGGGCCTGTGAGAATTAAAAAATATATAAGGGTTAAAAAAAATCTGATAACAGTCGTGGTTTATTTTATGTACCCAACAGTTCTGTGGATATTGACACCTCCAGAGGTTAAAGATACTTGTCCACCAAATAGGTGGCTCAGCAGGAATTGGTCTGACTTAGCTTCTGTTGGGCACAGGGGAGTTGGGTACAGCCTATATCGTTGGATAAGAGGAATAAGTACCTGTATACAGATTGTACAGTAATTTAAAACTGCTGACATAGTCATAAATACAAATGTGATGGATAAAAAACAGATCTTTAATTGGAGTTTACTGTAACTCCTGAAATGACTGATTTTTAAAATTTAGAGTCCCCATGTGATCTCTCTCTTTTTTTTTTTGGTGGTGGTACTGAGAGTTGAACTCAGAGCCTTGTGCTTGCTAGACCTGTGCTCTACTACTTGAGCCATGCTCCCAGCCTCTTCATAGATTCTTAGTGGAGACCTTGTCTTTCAAAAAGTTAAAAACTACTTGTCTAGACAGACATTAGAATGTTCTTTCAACTATATAACTTTCCTGTCAAAGTGGAGTGGGGCAAAATTTTTAGTATTGGTTATTATGGCCACTTCGCTCTTACTTTAATTTCAAATAAGTTGAAATCATTTATCTTAGAACCTGAGGATTTCCGTGGCTTATGGGTTAGTGAGTAACTTTGGAACATGTGAAGCTATTCTATAAAGTTCTGATGGGGTATTTTGGATAGTTTGGAGGGAAGATTGGGGTGGGAGCAGAGGCAGTGAAGACTAGATAGAGATTAGTATTTCTCTCCTGATTTGGCAGAGACTGGCCATATTTTCTAGGATGTCCTAGTTCTGGAGTGTGCTAAATACTGTATTTTCCCAGTCTCCCATTGTGCTTTGAATTGTTCTTGTTATTTTGCCATTTTTTCCACTACCTCACATTTGCTTTTTTGTTTCCTGAAAATATCATTCATTCCTTGTATACTTTTTCTGTTTCCAGATGGCTTCTGTTTAGTTTTGTTAGGTTCTGTCTAGTTGACTTCCCGTTCTGCACCCAGTTCCTACTCCTCAGAAGCAACTTGACAGTTCTTTCTTGTTTATTCTAGCATCAATACCTATACTTCATATTTCTGAGTACCATACATATTTCTTGTTCTTCTTCCCCATTTTAGGCACTTTCTATTGGCTTTGTATTGTGCACTTCCAGAACTATCTATGTTCATAGGCATTTGTTTCCCCCTAAGTCCGCTTGTACCATTGTTACAATTTTTTTCTAAATGAATATTCAGCATTTGTGTTATGATGAAGAAAATATTCTTCCGTTTGAGTTACTTTTGTTGTAAAGTTTTTACCCTGGAGTTAATAATTGCTTTTTTAGATTTTTTTCATTTGTTTATGTTGTGTTATGAATTCTTCTTTTTTTTTTTTTTCCTCCAGTACTGGTGCTTGAAATCAGGGCCTACACCTTGAGCCACTCTGCCAGCCCTTTTTGTGATGTGTTTTTTCAAGATAGGGTCTTGCAAACTGTTTGCCCAGGCTGGCTTTGAACCGAGATCCTTCTGATCTCTGCCTCCTGAGTAGCTAGGTTTACAGGTGTGAGCCACTGGCACCTGGCTTGTTATGAATTCTTTATTCAAGCTTAGCAATTTAAACTCTGAAATTTCAGCTTAATTTTTTTTTTTTTTTTGAGATGGGGTCTTGCTATGTTGCCCAGGTTGGCCTTAAACTCAAGTGATATTCCTGTCACAGCCTAGGAACCTGACTTCCACCCCACCCCTAGTAGTGCAGTTTGAATTTGTGGCCTTGTGCTTACTAAGCAGGTGCTCTACTTACTACTTGAGCCACAGCCCCCAGCCCTCTTTGCTTTATTTTTCCAGTAGGGTCTCAGGCCAACCTGGATTGGGATCCTCCTATTTACGTTTCCTGCAAAGCTGGATGACAGAGCTTTGCCACCATTCCCAGCTTTTATTGGTTGAGATGGAGTCTTGCTAACTTTCTGGCCAGGCTGGCCTTGAGCTTCAGTCCATGCGCTCTCCTCACTAAGAGTAGCTAGGATCACAGGCATGAGCCAAGCAAAACTGCTACAACCTGGACTGATTTCTCATTTTCTTTGCTACACAGCTGTGTATGGGCCTTCCATGATCATCACCTTGATAATTCCATTCACCTCTTTTCACTTTAGACAGCGTTTCTTGTATCTCATGTCCTCTGGATTTTACTCTTTGTTTTGGTGAAACATAACCTCATTTGCTTTGAGAAGAAATGGATGAGAGTTATGTATTTAAAAAACCATTGTATGCCTGAAAATCATCTTTATTTAATTTGACTGATAATTTGATTTTTAAATTCTGGGTTCAAAAAATTTTTTACCTAATTTGAGAGCATTGCTCCTCTTTCTAATCTACTGTTGTTAAAAGTCTGATGTGAATCCTATTCTTGGTAATTTTTTTTGGTTTTTGTTTTTGTTAGTGGTACTGGGGTTTGAGCTCAGGATTTCTTGCTTGGTATGGAGGTGTTCTTCTTCAGACATGTTTCCAGCCCTTTTTGCTCTGGTTATTTTGGAGGTAGGGTCTCTTTTTACCTAGGCTGGGCTCCCTGTTTTAGGGTACTTGCAGTTGCTGGGATGACAGGCCCATGCCACCATGCTTAGCTTTTTTCTGATGAGATGGGGTTGGGGGTGTCTCACAAACATTTATGCATGGGCTGGCCTGGATGTGTGATCCTTCTGATCTCAGCCTCCCTTATAGCTTGGGTTGACAGTTGAGTGCCACTGAAGCTGTCTTTTGGTTGAGAATGAGGTCTCTCCAACTTTTTGCCCAGTTGGTTCCAAATCATAATCCTGATCTCAGACTTCCAAGTAGCTAAGATTACAGGCATGAGTCAGTGGAGCCTTACTTACAGTTCTTTGGATGTTTCCCCTAGTTATGAATGCTTTGTATCTTATTTCTTGTGACCATTTTGTCTCTCTCTCTCTTTTCTGTTATCTTTCTGATGTTCCTACTAACTAAATGTTAGAATTTCTAACTTGATTCTCCAAAATTTTCTCTTTTTCTTCCTCTGTTTTGCTTTTTTGAGAGATTTTCTTGCTCTTCCAGTTCCACATCAGTTCTTGATTCTTTCCATCTTAAATGAATTCAGGTATTTGCTTATACCGTTACCTGGTGTCATGAAAAGAAGCACTGACTGAGTCAAAGATTGACCTGCTCTGCTCGTTCCTAGTTGTGCATCTTTAAACAAAGCACATACTCTCTTCAGCATGAATTGCCTTGTAAATGAGGAGATTGGAGACAGAAGATAATTAAGTTTCCCCAAAATTCTATTTATTTTTGGTGGTGCTGGGGAATCAAACTCAGGGCCTTATACATGGTAGTCAAGCACTCTACTGCTGAGCTTTAATTCCAGTTCTCTCTCTTCTAATAGTGTTTAGTTATCTTAGGATAGTCCTCTCTCTTTTTTGGTGGTATTGGGGTTTGAACTCAGGAGGCCGGCTCCCTACCATTTGAGCCATACCTTCTGCCTGATAGTCCTCTTTAATATGGTAGTTGGATATGAAGTAGATAATGAAACTATTTTTTTTATTATGGGTTGATACTATACAGCGAGAATCTTCATTTAAAAAAGGAAGAAACAATCTCTGTTTTTTTCCATGTGTCATCTTGACTATGACACATTCTTCTATATCTTTTAAGTTTATAAATTAACTGGGAGAGGGATATTCTTTCCCAATCCTTATATATTTCCTTCTTTGCTTTTAGAAAACTTGTGTCTAATTGTAGCTCAGTTCTTGCTGACCTATATTCTCAGGTCTTTATTAAGAATACTGAATGAGAATTGGGCATGGTGCTGCACATCTGCAATTTTGGCACTTGGGAGGCTGAGGCGCATGCCTCAGTTTCAGGCCAGTCTGGGATACATGGTAATACTATTTCCAGTAGAGAGACAAA